CCCCCACCCCCGCACTCCCACCTTTCTAGCCATTTGCCCTCTTGCCCACCCATTGCTCTGAGCTCCATCCACCTTCACAATCTGTCAGCCTAGTGATCTGGGCCTGGTCAGTCCAGGTACCTATCTGCTCACCTTCCTTCCTTCCTTCAACCAGCTCCAACTGACTAATGCAAAGACTTTCCATCACTTCCTCTCTTCACCTCTCTGACTCTTTTCTTCCCCCTCCCAGGCTTTGGTTTCTTACAGCATGTTCACATCTGCCATTTTTGGACTTTGTGGGTAGGAGGGACATCCCGAGACTCCCCTGGAAGAGGAAATTTACCAGCTTTGCCCACTGACCCTGCAGGGAGCCTGGATCCCCCACCTCATGTCCTTGGGGATAGATGGCTGCCTGTCCTCTCCTCCCAGCACCTACTCTCAGGATTAGTTCCATCAGGGCACCTGTGTCACCCCATGCTCCCACCACACTGCCCTCTCCAAAACCTCTCCAAAACCACCTTTTCTCCTTAGTTTAGATCACTTTAGACTTAGCAAAAAGTTTTGAAAAACCAAACAAACAAAAAATCCCCAGGAACCTTTACCCAGATTCCAAATGTTAATATTTTCCCCATTTACCTTTCCTCTCTCTCTCTCTCTCTCTCTCTCTCTCTCTCTAAATACTTCTTTTACAAACTTTCTCAGAGTAAGTTTCACACAGGAGGCCTCAGTACTTCCCCAAAATCAGGGTACTTCCTTGCAGCTGAGCGTACAGATATTGCAAGTCTGGAAGTCATGCTGCCCACCGCCCTCTGTGGGCCCTGGCTCCCGCCCCTTGGTGACCCAGCTCCTACCCTCCTTCTGGCTCCAGGTTCGGGACAAGAAGCTCCTCAATGACCTGAATGGGGCAGTGGAGGACGCCAAAACGGCCCGGCTGTTCAACATCACCAGTTCGGCACTGGCAGCCTCCTGCATCATCCTGGTCTTCATCTTCCTGCGGTACCCACTCACTGACTACTGACCCCACAGGCGCCAGGGCCATGAGGAGGAAGCACTGAGACTTGCTTATTTTTGTGGTCACTGAGATGCAGGATGCCCTGAGGGTGGGCCAGATTGAGGCTCCTGCCTGGGCCTCCGAGGCTTTGTGTGACTCAGAGCAAGGCCTTCAAAGCTGAACACCCAAGGAGCAGAGAGCTCCATGCAACCCCCACCTGCCTCCTGGCCCTCACCCTGCCTGTCTTTGGGCCTCAGCTCCTTCCCTACTGCTGCCCCGGCTTCCATGTGCCCAGGTTCCGGGGCCTGCAGATCCCACTACCAGCAAGAAGGGCTTATGTGGGAGATCCCAGGATGGCGGGCTGCCAGCACCTGAGGCCCACTCTCTCCTGACCCTGCCTCCTCCAAGCTGTGACCTGCTCAGAGCACTTGTATCTGTGAACTTTCAATAAAATACCTACCCTGCTCCTGCCTGGCCTCCTGTCCGTGCCCCAGGTGTGTGTGTGTGTCTGGAGGCCTTGGGAGCCTCCTTTAGGTACAGCCTGGTGGTCTGAGTCCAGGGAGCTGCATCACGGCCAGTTTTGCTGACAGGGACCTGACCCCAGGGGTTCAGGCAGCCTGGGGCCAGATAGGGTGGCAAAAACTCCCACACCAGCTGAGAGTGGAGCTAGGAAACCCCTATTCCCCCAGGAGCGAGTGCCCAGAGGTGATTCCAGGGCTGGCTCATTCCTGGGACCTAGGCAGGTTCCTCACCTGCTCCTGCAGTCTCCTCAGCCATAAAAGAGCAAAATGGCTCCCACTTCCCAGAGTCACAGTAAAGGCTGACCCAAGGTTGCAGCTCAGGAGGCAGCAGTGCCCCACATGGGCTCTGCCCGTGGCACGGGGCAGAGGGTGCGAGGCTGGGGAATGGGTCTAGGAGAGGTAACAGGGAGAGGGCTGCGGGCAGAGGTGGTGTCTGGCAGCTCCTCCGGGGCCAGGTGGCTAGACAGCTGGGAGGTGGACAGGGCCACAGGCCAACAGTGGGGAGAAGAGCTTGACTCTGAGATGCCAAATGGAGAAGTGCAGGCAAGAGACTCGGGCTGGAGACATTGCAGGGGGTGGAGGGTGCCCACCAGTGCGTGGGCAGTGGGATGGGGCTTTCAGACTGGTTGCTTGGGGAGGGCAGGAGGAGGTAGGAGTTTAGGGACGCTGTGTGGTGAGCTGGGAGGATGGGCTTTTGTGTGAGAGATGGAAATGTGGAACCAGGGCCTTATGCCTTTTGGCAGCAGCAAGTGGAGATCACCCCACCCCCACCCCCACCCAAGCCTGGAAAAGCACTTTCCAGATGAAAAGGTCAAGCATTTGGGCCTTGGACACCACCCCATGGACACAGGGCTCAAAGAAAGGAAGCCTGATAAGTGGGGACACGTGCAGGGTTGGGGTAGGCTGGTGGAGGAGCCCCAGTATCCCACTGTGAGACCTAGTCCCAATCCTGACTCAAATTCTACACAGCAGAGTTGGAGGACACAGGTTTCAGTCCAGGCAGGAGGTGAAGGGGAGGGGAGCAGAAGGGCCTGGAAGTCAGAAGAGGGCCAGGGTGGGGACTGAGTAGGACCCTGGGGGACGGTTCCTGTCCCTAAAGGTAGTAGAGATGCCACTGGAAGGCCGACTGTGGGCTGCCCAGTCCTGGATGCTTCTGACCTCATAATCAGAAGCAGGTGATCCCAATGGTCTCCCCACAGCTTCCTGAAGGAATCAAGCAAAAATGGGTGGGTGGGGCTGGACCCTGTAAGGGGCCAGGGCATCCACAGGAAACTGGGCCCTGGATGGTGAGGTCAGCTTAGGCTGACTCTGTGTCCAAGCAGCTTTATTGTACCTGGAGGTGAGGAAGCAGAGAGAAACAATATCTTCCTCACTCCTTTTCCTTAGCACTGATGCTGCATTGGCTGGATGCCTGCCTAGACGGCCCCCAAGGGCGCACCTACATTAAGGAGGCCCTTCCCTGGGATTTTTCCCAGGCTGAGGCTTCCTGGGCTCATGTTGGAGACAGGACAGCTACTTGATAGCCAACAGTATGGACAGAGCCACACTGCAGAGGACAGCTACCTCAGGATGGAGAGAGCACTCCACGGCGGGGGTCCCAGTGGGGTCAGTCCATACATGCCCTCACTGCCTGGCTCTGGCTTCAAGCTCTGTGTTTTCACCTCTCTGGGCTTGTCTCTGACTTGCAGCTCTCCTTGTCCCCTGCAAGCCCCTTTGGCCCATTTTCATTTGGTTGTATATAGTGCCTGGGTCACATTTGACATTCAGTAAACACTTGTATGAATCAAAGAGAGAATTGCCTTCTCTCTCCCTGCCTGTCGGGAGCCATTCTACATAATTTTGGCAAAAAATCATTTCACAATTAAATCATGATGAGGCCTAATCTTTTTTTAAATTCTTTTATTGGTACATTTTAGGTATACAATACGTTTACGTTTATCATTGGGTGTTTGTACCTGTACATGATGTATCTTGGTTCTTATTTTTTCCCCATTACCTGTGTGCCCTTCACCCCCTCCACCCTTCCCTATTTACATAAATTTCATTTCCATTTTTTTCTTTTCTCAAAATTTTTCTTTTCC